GTGTTCATAAAGAAGCAGTTATCAATCAGTCTTTCCTTGCCAACCTGGTAGCTGAGTGTCTACATTCACTCTATCATTCGATTACATAATCTTTGGCTTTAATCTTCTTGATACAGTGTAATTCTGCTTGTATCTTGTTTCCGTGATTTAATTTGAGCTCAGTACATTTCACCCAATTTATTAGCTACTAATCATCTTACGTACGTCTCGTCTTTATTACGTAACTCCTTTGCCATTGTATGCATACATTTACTTTGTTTAAACTTGAACTCCTTGTGTAAAAACTATATAAGCGTAATTTTCTGAGCACTGTTCACTAAGTTCGGAACTTCCTGTCAACTGACATCATGTAAAATTTGCAAGTATGTTAAAACTTTTCTGTACATGAACTTAATAATAATATATTTAGGCTGTGGGTAGCTGATTAGAAGCCAACGAAATAAACGATGGTACCATATTATTCTGCACAAATCACCGTTGTTCTTGCTTTAATTCAAATTTGTATAGGAAAGTAAGTGTATGAAAAAATCCTATGTCAGCTAACAAAACTCGACTAAGAAGGCGATGGCTTATCATGTGTAACATATGTCCTAACCATCTGAATAGGCAGAGTTTCACGAACTCATGGCCTGAATTCGCCTCCTTACCTCATATTCTACGCCTGACATCAATATTACTTAACACATTACACCACCTAACATGGGAGGCACAACGCAAACGTCTATGGTCAAAGACAGTTAGCCTCTTCATATCTTTCTTTGGTCGGTAGCTGGATTTCCCATATATGCAGAGATGATGTAATTAGACAAGTACTACACTAGCCTTTTATATTCGAACTGAGACATCATCAGCATTCAGTCGATTAGGGCCGCTGCTACTTCTAAAATGTGTGAAGCGGTCAACACACTCAACACATCACTCCCTATCTTTAGACTAAGAGTAGATGTACACTAGTCCTGCAACACCTTTGATTTCTCATAAAAAATATATATATAAAATAAGGCGGTAACTATTTGAAAATTTACTTGGGAACATAGTTAAACGATTAAAATATAAGGTTGGAGTAAGCCTAATGTACTAACAAGACAGTGTGTCGATGGCATAGTAGTAGGATTCTCACCAACCACGCAGGTGGTTCGGGGTTCTATCCCCGGCCGACGCACTCCTTTACCTCTCTAAGCAAGTAATAAGACTGGTAATGAAGTAGGGATGGGTGTGAGGCTTGCAATCCCATCCCGTAAAAAGAAATACCACTGCTGCCGAAACTTCATAGCCCTCGTTTGAAGCCCTATGTTCCACTTAGAACGCAAAGGAATAAAAAAGCAAAGAAAAAAGTGTGCAGGACAGAAAACTTGCTAGTATAAGTAGGCTACAGAATTACTTATTTTTAATCAATTGCTGATAGAACATTTCATGAAACGACTTCGTGCGAAACAATTCATTTTCTCTTCATCAACTCGTCATCTTGTTTTATGTTGTCACCACATAGTTAGCTTGTACACAGCTGTCAAAAATGCAACGAAGTATAATGAATTTATTGTAACCTGTTGAACTATTCATTCATGCTTTATTTGACATTGCATAGTGTTTGGTGGTAAATATTTATGAATAATAATTGACTTGATTTCATCAGTTTGCAGCCTAGGATTATCTCTCATTAATCTCAAAATGAATAAACTTACCAAGTGCAGATACAAAAAGTGAAAAAAAAACAATTTCATGCCAATAGGTATGACTTAAAGGAATCCCATCACTGTTCATCTCATAAATATACCACACAACAAAACAATACTCTTTGCTGAAAAAAATATTTTTAACGGAAGTTATTGTTTACAATCATATATAATAAAACTCCAGAAACTTGAAATATCATTTTCATATTCTCAGTTCATAATTGTTGTGTCACATTTCATATAATCAGGAACAATAAATTGTTTTTGAAACACCATTCACTGTTTCATCGTGTGGTATATCCAACAGAAACTGCTAAATGATCACATACTACCACGGTACTTGAGTGTTAAACATACGTTGATCCAGTGGACTTAAAGGTTAGGGGTTAGGTTATGATGAATATCTTTCACTACACTTATAAGTGCCTATATATTCAGCCTAACCACTTCAGATGTCTAATGTAAACCCCAGCAGCCATTTGCATACCTGTACTGATACTATTTCACTGTCAACATCTGGATATTTTGTTTGAATAAATCTACAGTAGTAACAATCAGTTATCCGCCGAACAAGCCTCATGTCACCCTATCTGATTTCTTTGGTGTTCTGATAAGTATGCGGTTTAATTTCCACTTGTGGGAAAATAATTTGCAAGCAGAATGAGAGCTAACCGACTGAGAATTCTCCCACCTCTACAAAATTCAGTTTAACGACAATGGCTGAATGTGTAGATCACAGATATGTATCCAGTCAGTACTTAAATCTGCTGTTGTTTTTCCATTTCCGCATTTCAAGAAAGTGAAAGACTAAACACTAAAAGAAACGCATCATTATAAGGACAGAACCTGGACACCATGGTAAAGTATAAATCCATCATATAAAAAATTTATTCGGTAAATTGTTTTTTCGAAATGGAAGCTGACAGAAGAGAACAGAGGAGGATGGTGAAAGAGAAGATACACCAATGTAAAGATGGGTAACAAAAGGAGAAGCTGACTTCAATCTCCACCGCACTGAATCAAGAAGTGAAGAAGAGTAGTAGGAAATACAAAAGACAGTTCTACGACACATTGGCAACTCAAACAGAACAAGCAGGACGCAGATAAAAGAGATCTCAGAACGTTATATAGGATAACCAGGGATCTATCCAAGGAAAGATCAACGCAGATGAAACCTATAAAAATGGTCAAGGTAACCTAAGTACCAAGGAGGAGTAACAAATAAAATGGTGGGTTGATCACTTCAAAGAACTCTCGAATCGACCGTCACCTGCAACTCACCCAGAAACACACCACCACCGACAGCACAATCAGGACTGCCTGCCAGTGGATACCAATCCTCCAACGAAAGTAGAAATCCTGAATACTATCAAGCTGATGAAAGCTAGCAGCGAACGCAGCAGGACCAGATGGAATTCCTCCGATAAACTGTAAACGGATTCGGAGACTGCGGCAGATATGTTGATGCCATTATTGCAAAAGATTCAGAAAGAAGGAAAAGTAGTTACTTATTGGAAGAAGGACTAGCTACTTCGCCAAGCAACCAAAGAAGGCGACCTACGACTCTGCAATAACTGGCGTGGAATAATGGTCTTGTCCACGCCAAGTAAACTCCTGAGTTGTGTGATTCTGGAGAGAATAAAAGGTGCACTAGATGCAGAACTCCGTCAACCGGAAAAAGGTAGATTCAAGAAAAGCAAATCATATGATGAGCAAACTGCAACTCTATACAACATCATCGAACACAGCAGAGGATAACAGTCGAGCCTATACATAAACTTTATCAAATCCTCAAAGGCCTTCGACAGTGTTGACCGAGAAGTAACTTGAAAACTATTTTAACACTATGGTGTGTAGTGCCCAAATCTTAATCAAGCTGGCTATGCGACATAGCAGGTGACACGTGATCCACAACGGAAAATTCAGCGAGGCAACTGAAGTGAAGACAGGAATAAGACAAGGCAGCCTGACTATTATCACCGGTGATAATCCTAATTGTTGTGAACTGGATAATGCGACAGACTATGGTTAGCAAGAAAACAGGAATACTCTGGAACGATAATAAGATGGTAGAAGATCTGGGCTTAGCGGATGATTTATGACTGTCACCCGAACCCAAAGACTTACAGGTAAAAACAAACAAAGTGGTAAAAGAAGCAGCAAAGAGAGAACTACAATTTTATAACAAAGAAAATGAAGGTTATGAAGATAACCAGACAACAACAACAAACACCACTAATCACAGGAGAGATTTGAAAGAGGTCACTTCCTTCACTTAGCTAGGAAGCATAGTTTCAACCACAAGTGGAAAGGATGAAGATGTCAAAGCCGGAATCGGAAAGGCAAGATGCGTCTTCATCACTCTGAAGTCAGCTTGAAAATCGTCTGCACTCCACCTCAGCATAAAGAACAAGATTCTAATTTTCAACACCATTGTCAAGTCAGTCAGTTCTTCTATATGAGTCAGAAAATTGGCGCATCGCGACGAACAATTCCAACAGGTTACAGACATTTAACAACGTCTGCCTTCGCCCCATACTGAAGATCAAATGGCCGGAAAAGAATTGGCAACAAGATATTCTGGTAACAAACGAACCAAGTGCTAATTGCTCAACAAATGTGCGGAAGAAAATGGAGACGGACTGGCCATACGGTGAGGGGACCATCGAATACATCGCGTACTAGGTCCTCGAGTGGAATCTGGATGGGAAACGACTAATGGGTTGTCCTAGACTGACATGGAGGAGATGAGAGATTATAGGTGATTTTGGGCCCAGCTGAAGAAGAAGGCAGAAAATAGAGCAAAGGGAAGATGTGTTGCCGATGCCCCATGTTCTCCTCGAAATGTTATCAGTAAGTATAACTGTTTCAATGCATGATTTTATAGTTTCATTTTTGAATGCCGTTCAAAACAGTGTCTCCACACGGAGAAGCCTTGTTTTCTTTTGCAATTTATTGTACACTTAAAATGTTAGTTTCTAAGAAAAACTTATGTGATACGTTGTAGTCAATCGCTTATATGTTGACATGTAAACATTACTAAATAGAATGTACACACACACGCACAAAGACACCAATGCACAACATACAGCTGTCTCAGCATATTAAGATGGAAGATAAAACTGCAAACGTTGAATTTCAAAAAGTGCTTTTATTTTTTAGGAAAAATTCATTGAAATCACTGAATTTAAAAACATTATTTTCACCGTAACAATTCGGAATATTCTCTGAGGAATCATTGAAGTAAATAGTGAAAGACTTTTCATTGCTACATACACATAATCATAGAGTTAGTTGTTTTTCGTCACATAAAAACAAACCACAGCATCAATTCTCATCGAATCGTAGATACATAATATTATTTTTAGACTGAAAGCCAAGTTTCTCATAAAATCCGACTTTATCATCACTGCAGTCGAGAGAGATTTTATAACAGCCCATGTGTTTTCCTATACGAATAAGGATATCGATAAGCCTGAAATGGTGTGTAACAGGGAAGCAACATATTATTAAACAAAAAATCTGCAAATGGCAGAACAGATAAGATATACAATATGAGAAGTGGCATGTAATAATTAATTACCTCAGTATAATTTATCCTCTCTGTGATGGAGGGACATCAACTCATAGGATCTAAGGATTATTAAAGAAATGTTGAGTTCGCCACATCATACAATTCGGTACTTAAACACAGAAGTTGATGAGGCCGGAAGATAAATAGAAGAACATAATATCGGCTTTAAAATAGGCGAGATTGGGGGAATCACAAGAAGATATGTGATACATGGTTCTCGCTCCTATAAGAAGACTGAGGGATTTTCGAAGTTTTGAGTGGAAATTTGCGTACTTTCTCTATGCGATTTTCACCTGTAAAATGTTTTTAGAAGTTGGTTCGAACTAAGCACATGTCCAACAGTCGTAGGATCAATGGCCGAATGTACTGACCACCACACCTAACTGCTCTTCCCATCTAATAGTCAGAGTTAACGTTTTCGATGAAGTCGCAGATTGGACATGGAAGTCTTCCTCATGTGATGTGTACATTAGTTTATGAACCATAGCAAACATGTACAACAGGTTTTCCCGAAAATCAATGTATACTATCTCCTTAATCTCTCAATATGGATGTTTTAACCAAACTGACATGATGACAAATGATCATATTTTCCTACTCTTCGACCGTAGACTATCATTATAACAGATCAGTGAGACTGCATCCATGGTTCTTGTTACATACTACTACTCATATGTTTCTCTGAATATTCTAGGTAACAGTCACTCTCATGCTATATCATCTCTATTTTTTCCGAGGACTCTTACCATAGTGTTAAGCTTTTGCTCTTTAAAGTGGTCATTCATATGTTGTAGGATGAATTTATTCATTTTGTCGTACTCAGCTATTTACATCTAAGTCAGCAAAAATAATTCAATCCACGTAGAACCGCACTAATACTTCGTTCTGGTGTATAACTCTTCATCAGGATTCCTCTCCGCGTGCCATTGGGTACAAAGTAGTTCCCGTGAAAACAATACTTATAAACTCTGATGAACTTATTGTATGACTCACAGTCGAATTCGCAGATGTGGTATGATAAGTGAGTCCTAATTTACTCAGAAATCTTATTCGGCAGTTTTCGCGGTATAAAGTGAATCAGATATCCAAAATCTAACGGAAAAATATTCTTTACAGGGATTACAGATAGAGGTGTGTGCATCCATCTCCTGTATCTACGATCAACTCCATCAGAAACCTGATTATGCAAAAAATAAGCTAAGCGAAATAAGAAGATCGGATAGTTGAAAACCATTATGGTCTAATTTTTTTTTTTTTTTTGCGCAAATACTCTCTTAAACAGTGGTTTGAGTCTTACATTTAACTCGGGAAATACCCGTTTAATTTCTACAGTTGAAGGTAGTGCATAAAATAGTTCTCCTTGTAACTGTTCTTTATGTAACAAGGGTGTTCAATCCTTAAGATACTGAATAAACTGTGTGACTTGTGGCAGTAAGCCTTACTACAGTCAGCACCTAGACGAGTTGGGTAGCAGCAACGTAGAGTTTGAATTAAATGAGTCAAGAGGATTTTAATTCACGAACAGCACTCTAAATATTGACTAGGAAGGTCGCCGTCACTGCTTAAGCAAGTAATGGTAGTACTACAGAAATTTTGACAAAAAAAGTTTATTTAATGATATGCTAATCCTTGTTATACATCTATACATGATGTCTTTTTATGTAAAATGAGCTATAAGACATTCTTATAGTTCGGCTTAGTGGATTCAACGTTAATCCGACGACACTTCAAGTGTCAAATTTTATTATCTGAAAACTAATTTACGTATTGGTCTGCACAAGTTCATAAAGTTGTAAGACTTCTTCAGCGTAAAGTTACTGTTAGTAAGTAGCAGACTGAAAATTATCACGCTTAGTAAACTACTGCATAATATAAAAAAACCTTGTATTTGCGTCAGACAAGACTTACAGTTTCCCTAGATTCATTCCACGAAATCTGGAGTCAACCACAACATCTTCAATGTGTCCCCTCTGAGAAAATATAAAAGAAATGGTTACTTACTTTTGAACAACAGTGAATAAACTTCAACTCAAGAAAAAGAGTTGCAGCTCCAATGATACTTCCAGTTGTTTCATTCACTAGAACCACAATGAAGTATGTATCAGGGCAAGATGCCATCTGAAGGAACCTCTCTTGTGAGAGAGTAAGTTTTAATTGCTAGTTACCATCAAACTGTCTTCTCTCTATCTTACCAACTACAGTTAACTGCTTCAGTAAACTGACATAATCTGTACAATATTTGATGAACGAATGGTATTACCATAATCAGATGATAACAACGGACGTATTTTAACGGAAACTTCTGAAGTTTGAGCAACTTTGTCCTTCAAATACTTCTCAACTAGCTCAGAACAATTAATATGCTCTAGAACTACGGGATCGAATAACGACAAATCAGTCATGTCTCAAATAAGCGCCAAAATATTTAAGGTCGATTTAGGTGGATTTAAAGGGGACAAACAAAGCAAATCAAATGAACAAAATTAATTGCTTAAATTTACAGATCCACCTATTAATAGGGCCTAATGTACAACTCATGTGAATTTTTGATAGCTCAATAGTTTTTTTCGATACATTAGGTTAATAAACTGGTATCGCCTACTCTTTATAATTTCTTCGGGTTATGATTGTTAATTTTGCTAAGAGAATAAGAATATGCCGAAGTAGCCTCAATTCTTGACCAGGTCCCTGAGACACCGAAAGAAAAAGAATTATAATCCATATTCTTTTTCAAAATAACGACGAAGAACTTTGAGTTCAGAAGTATTTCCAGTTTATTTATAGTGTGATCGTATGTTTCCACTTCCCTACTCCCTTTTGTGTAATGGAATTACACGGTTCACCCTCACACTGAGAAGCGAAAATCTCTACGAAAATCCTCTTCAAACCTTGACTATCTCAGATGATTTTTCTTTCGTAACCTTCCTGACTATTCACATAAGCGGAGGTCCGAAAATTTAGTCATGCAAAACATCAGTAGAGTAATGGATTAAGGATTCATCCTGTTTATATCATTACAGTTGTGGTTGAAGACGCTAAATCCGTTTCCCGTGTAATTTTAAAACTCACATGAAAATAATAAAGTACATAGCTGCTAGTAACAAATGCCGTCATAAGAGTCTGACAAGGAGGATCTCTGGGCTGACTGTTATATGATAATCGTGGTGGTATCACGGGGAGTGGTGAGGAGTAATACTGTCTGTGACAGATGACCAATGTCACCGGTTTCATTTAATTCAAGTTTGACTCGAACATATTAGGATTTGACTGGTTATCAGTGCACGGTGAAATACTTATAACTACATTCTATTGCGAAGTGACTGGCTGAAATTTTGGGAGCTTTCTGAAACATATGTGCATGGGCTTGCTTTCCAGTTCACCCTTTTCATACATAAGTACTATATTTTTCGACATTAAATCTCTTTACACCAATGCTGCACTTAGGGAAATTGTCAGTCTTGTATTTAAATATACATATTATTTCCGTTTAAACACTTAAAAATCAGTAGGGTTTATGAAGGAAATGCTGATGATTAGTGCTTTTCAGCAACAATTTGTCTTCAGTGATACCGTTCACAGACTAAATCGTGGGATTACAACGGGATCTTCTTTGGTTCCACCAGTAGCAGAACGTTCCATGGCAAGCCTTACGAACAGTCTACTGACGTCTGTGATTGTTAGTTTACAACAGTTTACAGTGCGAGTAGATGACATCTTCAACATTTGTGAAGATAGTTGTGACCTTGGAAAACAACCAAATAAAAATACTCTGACCCCAGTCAGTCATTAATTTACTTCAAGGATTGAGATCTGGTTATAAAACTCACCCTTGTGATGGAAAACGAAACCACAATCACTTTCTTAATGTGTAACTGACAAGAAGGAACAACGGCACCTAAAGGTGTTCACTCTGGAGGAGATTCATTTTTAAGGTCAACTGGTCCACCAAGTGAACGGTCAATGGACGGGTTTCTATAGTTGAGTGCCTGCTAAAGGGTAACGAAATCGAATCACTTCTGTTGTCAGTCACATCCAACGCATCTGCAGCTTTGCAGCCCAAGAAGTAGAATCAGGTCTCCTGGAAGGAATCTCCCTCCAAAATGCATCAGCAATGGGATTCATTGAGAAGAATACTAAAGGTTCAGGGAAATGGAACATTACTTTCTCAAAAAGGAAACTTTAGATGCCTCTGGATTTGAAGGGAGACTTTATCTGTGTGTACCTAGGAGGAAAAAGTGAACACCGCTGAAAACAATCGTCACAGAAAGGTTAAAAGTAATGTTCCGAAGTTGTCTTCCGATATTCAGAATTCCGAGATAGGAAAACTCGCATCTGATTACTTCTGCGCGTATATATCTTGTGGTTCAGGTGCACTAGAAGTTGGATCCATATCCTGCCTTAAAGAGTTTAAGCACATTGTCCCTCATGGTTCGTTAAAGTGAGCAATGATTCTATTAGGGGCATGATAGTTGAACACCTTGTCAAAACTCGCCGTCACATCTCAACAAACGCCTCCTTCAGAGATATCTACAGAGTGAAGAACGACCTGCCAAATACAACACGCTTTCGCATTCACTTCAATCCTGAATCTCTGGCCATAGACAAACCGGATACGAACCGCATGCTAGAAGAAGTTATTCGACCACTTATACTATCATGGTGAAAAATTTACTAATTTCCTTATTCCACCCCTATGTAACTATTGTATTTCTTCGGAAATCATGTGCAACTTCCCACTCTTCTTTGTTTCAATGTGCACAATGATTATAACTGACTCATGAAGTTATTCATTCTACTACGTTAATCTAGCACATATATTCGAGTACTCTTATGCATTCGAGAACTTCAAAAACTATGAAACTGAAAACCTAGCACATTCCCTACTACTCTATTTCATAAAGAACATACATACAGCAAACAAAATGACTATACAAACAGGTTTCTTAGCATAACAATATATATATATACATAGATGAAAGAGTTTGTTAAGTCGAACGGAAGTGTTACTTTTAGAAGATAACCATCGCCAACTCCGAAACCAACTAACAACAAATCGATATAATGAAGTTTATTATGTAGCAGTTTAGTCACCCAGTTTAAAGTCGATTAGTACAGACAAATTGGAAAAAGTCTACAAATGATAGCCCGTATAAGTTGCATGGATAATTCTGATTGTAGTGTTTTGGTCTTCTGCAGACCAGCGAACATTAAGTCACGGAAGGGATTAAGACCAAGTTCCTAATGGATAATTCACAAAGGGTATTTCTGTTTAAATAAGAAAAACATGCTTTACGAAAGTGCGTGCTGAATACGGATACAAAGCTGAATGTTATTTGTAAAAAAATTCATGCACTCCCAAGAGATTTCACTTCTCTTACCGTACTCAGATAATGAGAAGTAGATGTCTTCCGCATGCATTGATAGTGTGGCGCGTGCCACTGATAAGATTTATCAGTACTATCTGCGGAGACATTCAGCAGTATGAAAAAATAAAATAGCAGGGAGATAGACTTGAAATCAGGGAGAGCAAATGATTCGGCGTTGTGGAGAAATATAGGGGACTCAGAAGAAGAAGAAGAAACGCAATATGAAGGACAGAAATAGCACAGTACTGAAGATCTGTGCGAATGGTGATTTGAAGATTAAGTGTAGATAATTTCGCTATATAGCGATACCAAATTCCAAATAAACATTCCTTAACGAAGTCTCCGGTTTTCTGCCGCTACAATTGGTGTCGCTGCCTCCAAACGATGAAGATTCCATGGCCGGCTAGTTTCTTGGAGGCAGTTAAACGGAGTTTCTTGCGGACTTCTGGGGCCATCGTTGAGTTAGCTGGCGTCAAGCACCCGATTTCGAAGGCGGTCGTGCTGAGGACGCTGCTGAGATGCCGGGCGGAGGTGGCGTATGACAGTGCGCAGCTTTTGGGCAAGAAGGGTACAAGGGAGGTGCTGGTTGGATCACAGCGGCAGAGTTAAAAAGCCCGATGGAAAGCCAGCTGCCATTACAGCGTTTCCGTGCCGTGAAGCTGAAAGTGGATGGGGACTTGCTAGAGTTGGTGGGGAAGCGGACGAACCTACCATGTTGCGCACTTTCCAAATTCAAATTGAAGTATGCGCTGAAGATGTCACCTAGTAGGGCGATGAAAGCTTCGCAAATTATCTATCCAGCTAAGAGATCACAACCACATCAAAAATTCCCCAAATTGGATGAAGAGTCGGAGTAGCCGTTATGACGTCCCAGTTCAGTGACAGTGTCCCAGAGCACATACCTCAGCAACTTCAACTGGTAAACGCTACAAAACGAATGGGCATCCGTGAACTGGCGAAGGTGACTAGGCACCTGCTGATCACAACGATAGCCGAAACAGAGCCACCGAGATGGAACGAATGGGAACAGAAAACTGAAGATTTGCAACCGGAAGTAGCGCCATTGCGAATGAGTGCCAGGAATGACTGATGTCTTCAACGTAGCAAAGCCGAACACTGGGGGAGGTGCTGCCCAGAAAGCAACAGGAAAAAGCATTCTGGGCACTGTAATATGTCTCCTTTCTCGCCTATCGAACTAGAAGTAGTGGTTGCTATTCAGAGGAGTACCATGTATCCTGAGTTGCCAGTGAATGGCTGAGAAGTAGTATGTTTAGTAGATACAGGGGCGTCAGCCTCATTCACAGATAAGAATCTATGTTATAGCGACAAACAATGTTCGTTGACAGTTCAAACGGCAGATGGACACGTGTTAAGCTTCACTGGCATGTCAAACTGTAGCATTATGATTGGCGGTCGCGAAGTTATTTTCCCGTTCATTGTTTTGCCGGAGTTACCAAGAACATTAGTTGGCGCTGATTTTCTGCGAGAGGTTAGTGCGTTAATTGACAATAATGAGACAGCAGTGATTACGAAGTACGGACCTATCAGCATGTATGAGACAAATGAGATAGCAAGCGTTATGGTGTCGGAAGCACAGAATATGACTGTGTTAGTTAAAGAAAACTATCATCTGTTCACTGGAGATGAAGACTCCTACACTTATCACCATAAGGTAACATGAAACACAACTGAGCATTTACTAAATGGCATTATTCACAACACAAAGAATCCAATGTCGTCTAGAAGACGAAGTCGAGCGACAAGTGAAGATGTTACAGGACGATATCATTGGCGAAGCTGACATCCCAAATAACTCTCCACTTCTTCTTGTGAATAAAGCAAACGGGAAAGACAGATTATGCGTCGATTTCCGGCAGTTAAACAGCATGACAGAACTGATACAGTGTGTCATTTGTAGCAGAGACCTTGGATCGTCTGCAAGACACGAATTTGTTTACAGTGTTCAATCCCTGGTCAGGATATTGGCAGATACCGAAGAAATAAGGCATTGTTCGTCGTGGGTCAGAAACAGTATT